GCCCTCTTAATGGAACTGGAAAACATATTTTTCCAGCAAGACGACGCACCGCCTCTGAACGCTGAAGTTATCAGCAAATTTTTGCAGCCAATTTCAAGAATAATTGGATAGCTAACCAAGATCCCAGCCGTTGGCCGTCGAGGACGCCTGACTTAGTGCCCATGGATCTAATCCTATGGATATATTTGCGGAAGAATAAAGGTTCAAAATCTCATGTCTTGGTTTGCTATTTATTTTTATTGGTATTAGATAAAGTTTAAATGTGTTGATGTTGGTTAAATATATTTTAAATTGCACATTTTAAAATTCTGCATCTCTCATAGCAAATATTATTTTCCTTTTAATTGATGCTCACATCTAGAATTTTTTTGCATTGCAGCCGGTGTCGTTCAAAGCCTACTTATTTAAAGCGGGCGAATTTTTATATACTCTATATCTCGAAAAGGAATCGAGCAAAATATCAGGAGTGTTATATTTTTGGAAAGATAATTTTAAATTCTTTTCAATACATTAAAAATATACAGGGTGTCCCATATAAAAAATCAAATTTTCTGTTGATAATTTTTAAATTCTTAATTTTAAAAAAACTATAATTAAACCATTAAATTCTACGTATAAAAAGGTGCTTTGGAAACGTTTTCATAAAAATACAAAATTTTCCATAGCAAAAAAGTTAGAGCGATTTGTTAAAAATGCATATTTTTGAAAAACACCCCGTAACTCCGAAAGGATATCAGATATCGATATGCGGTTTTCACCATCATGTTTTTGACAAAAATTGAGCTCCAGACACCGATATTAATTTTTGTCTATCTCCTATAGAAAGGAGGTTTTTTACCACCCCTCAAAAAAAAATCTATAGAAAAGGGTGTTTCCATTTAAAAGCGTCGAATTTGACCCACCCTGTACAATCTACAGTCATATTACTAGATTATTAAGTCTTTAACACCCTGTAGCTACGAAACAAAGCAAAATCAGACCTATGTTGATATGACAAATAAATCTTATTTTTACGTGAAGAATCTCCCCACGAGAGATAGCACATGTTTTTTGAAACACTTTTTAAAACACCCTGTATAATAAATTAAAAAAAAACATTTTTGATTATTAGGAATGTTTATATATTTTCATTTTTCATGTATATTTTAATTTTATAATATTTAGATAGGCTTTTTCTAAAATTCAGAATTTTTTGCGTCAATACAGACAGACACTTTAAAAACTACTCTGATCCAAATTTTCTTCTTACTTTATTATTGTAGGATATCGGCCATATCGTTGGAGGAATCATACCAAATTGTTCATGTTCAAGTGCTGAGTTTTTTGCGTCAGTTAAAAGAATAGAAAACCTTCTTAATGCCGATGAGCTTGATAAAGGACAGCAGAGTCAAACAGAAACATCATACCTAACAAAATTTAAAAATAAGGTTAAGTATTATAATATTAAGTTTATACCTATACCTAATACCAAAGGAGTCTTAAATAAGTACCTACAATTAAATAAATTAATTACATTTTCAGGGCTTGTAGATCTCGATAAAAGAATATTTTCTCTTTACCGTTATTCAAATAAGTCCGTTCTCTTAAATTTTGAGAACCACTGGATCTTTTCCGTTTTTTTTCTTGCAAATTTAATCCACTCCCTATGTTGCCATACTATCAAGATATTACGTTTTTTAACTGATTTTTTTTTAAATCCCAAATTTTCAATTTTCTTTCGCGAAAAAAACTTCATAGACGCGTTTCTGAAGTTGAAATATACTACCTGTAAAAATATTTGCACTTATTTAAGACTCACCCTGTATAGACAATATATGCCTATCTTTACTAATATGGTTAATATATAAAATCCTTAAGTGACTGACATACTGATTAATCACGATCCTGCACAAACCACTCAACGTAAGAAGCTCAATTTTGGCATACATTTTGGTTGATTCTAGGGTGTAGAGGTTCGATGAGAAGGGATTTTTCGAAATCCCAGTTCCAAGAGGGTGAAACCACCCCTCAAATATTACAATATTTTTTATTTCAAAACGGTAAAGTTTCCGAAAAAACGCTTAAACACGTATATTTTATTTTGTTTTTTTACATATTTTAAGATTTTTTAAAAATGTATACAGGGTGTTTCGAAAAATCTGGTCATTGATTAATCACGATCCTGCTTAAAGAGCTTGACGTAAAAAGCTAATTTTTGGAAAACAGATTGAATTTAGGGTGTAGCGGTTCGATGAGAAGGGATTTTTCGAAACTCGAATTCTAAGGGAGTGAAACTATCCCTCAAATATTAAAATATTTTTTTATTTAAAAACCGGTGAGTTTTTCCGAAAAACTCTTAAACACGTATATTTTATTTTGTTGTTTTACATATTTTAAGATTTTTTATAAATTTATACAGGGTGTTTCATAAAATATGACCATTGAGTAATCACGATTCTGCTTAAACTGCTTGACGTTTAAAGCTGATTTGTGCCAAACGGATTGACTGTGGGGTGTAGAGGTTCGATAAGGAGGGGTTTCTCGAATCCCAAATTCCAAGAGGGTGAAAACGCCCCTCAAATATTACAATATTTGTTATTTAAAAAAAGTTAGTCTTTCGGGAAAACGCTTGGACAAGCATAATTTATTTGTTTTTTTTACATATTTTGAAACTTTTTAATTTTCTATGAAACATTGGCAGGGTGTTCCAAAAAGTTGGGTAATTTCTTAATCACGATTCTGCTTAAACTGCTTGATGTTAAAAGCTTATTTTTGGCAAACGGATTTTTCGAAAGTTAAATTCCAACGAGATGAAACTACCCCTCAAATATTACCAAGTTATATAATAATATCGCCATATTGTTTTTTCTCATGCTGACATAAATGTGAGAAAATTTTATCCAGTTTGTATGTTAATGAAAATTCTTGCTTTGCTTTATCATCACCATTACAAATGATTAATTCGACGCGAACGAAGTCGCTGGTACACGCTTGTCATTACAAGCGTGTATGTAATGATATAAAAGTATTTGGTGAAACACTGAGGTTTTTATTTTAAAACAATAAAACGAAGTTTTGGCGTTTTTAAACAATTTCAAACGTTGCAAATAATATTTAAATAACTTAAATATTTAAAACTAACACCTTATAGGTTATGAATTATACAGGGAGGTCCAAACTGTATTGTGGAAACTTTGGCAGTACATCCTGCAGATAAAAATAAGTAAAAAAGTCGAATAAATGTATGTCCTAAAATGCTTAGTTTCGGAGTTACAGGGTGTAGAATTTTCATTTTTATTTCGATATAATTTATGAAGTAACTATAAAAATTTGAAATATTGAAATATTTGGATGAAAATTGGTATCTGGGAGTAATTTAGGACATACATTTATACGAACTTTTTTTACTTATTTTTATCTGCAGAATATGCTGCCGAAGTTTCCCGAATTCCCCGTTACAATCGTTGAATTTGACACTTTATGTCAGTTTAATAACAATATATTTTCCTACTTGTATTTAGATTGAATTTCGGATTGGAATGCTCGGCCTGGCTCGGCTTGCCGCTAAAACTTACGACAATTGTTTTGGAGCGCGTACGTGGTAGGGCGCTGCTATAGCGGTTGCTAAGAACAACCGCATAAAAGAACAGGAATAATTTTCTCTTGTCAAAGTCAGAACCTTCAAAAATTATAAAATATTTCAAAATTTAAACCGCCCTCATTAAAAAAAATACCGAAAAGTGTTTAAAGCATCCATTTTCAAAGTTATTATTGCTATCTTGTGAGTTTAATTTAAATTTTATTTAGTCAAACCTGTGATAATTGTGAAAAAGTGGCATTAAAAACTTAAAAAGCTGTGTGAATAACTGTGAACTGCAAAAACCATCGTGGATCGTGGCATAACATGGGCATAACGCATGGTACAAAGAAAACAAGGTATGATCGATAGCTGCTCCAATTTCGTTAAGTTTGCGCCTACCACCTGTGACGTCATACGCCAGACAAAAAATATCCATATTGTTCAATTGCCACTAATAAAAAAAAGACCTAAAATGGGGAAGAATTAGGACATAACCCCAAAAGTTATGTCAAATCATGGAGCTTGACATTTGAAAAATTATTTTCACATTTTTTGTGTCATCTGTTTGACAATTTGAAATTGGCGCGCGGAGCTTGCCGACCAATGGTGCCGTTTATCACCTGTGACGTAATGACCAACCTGCGCAATATCATACCTTGTATTCTTTGTATCATGGGCATAACGTATGCATAACGTCGCGTCGGCGTCGGTTGCCAATGTTTCATAGGTATTTCATATAGGTCCTTATATAAAATAAGTTTCTTATTTGTAACACATTGTATTCTATTTAAAAAATTAAAAGAAAATAATAATAAATTTGAATAAATGACTTTGACGACATAATTCCGGAAAAAGCCGAACCGCTCCGAAAATATCAAAAGCTTTGGAGAGCGACCGTTGTAAGAATAGCGCCAACTAGTATTTGCATTGTCCTTAAGGGCACTTTCCAATCTAAACTTGTTTCTTTTATCTATGTTCCTACTTTTGTGACTTACTTAGGCGTAAAAGCGCATTACTTTTATGCCTAGGCGTTAAAATTATTTTTTTATATCTGTCATTCACGTCGCAAAAACATTTTTAGTAGGACAATACATATAAATTTCTTTATGAAAAAATAATAATTATAACTTAATCTCACATTCAATCCATTAACAATAACAATAAAGAGCAAAAATCAATAAAAATATAAAATCAATATGTCTGCAATCCACAACAGTTACAAATATACACGACTGTTGTTTAATCTTTAGAAACAAAAAAAATATCGGCTTGCGTATAACAGTTTGTGAGAGATCGTTGTTGATAGTATGTTGTTTCCTCGGTACCTGTTATTGTTTTAGAACAGCTGTTAAGCTTGATTTTCATGCATCCGTTGTTCGACGATACGATGATACGATATTAATTTTATTGGTTGAATTTAAAGACTTCGGTTAACCAACCGGAAACGGTTAACCAGAAACGGTTAACCAATCGAAGCCTTTAAATATTACCAATGAAATTAATATCGTATCAACGTATCGTCGGACAACGGATGCATGAAAATCAAGCTTTATGAGCTTGGTAGAATCTCGGAGCGCGGTTATCCCGACATTACATCGCAGACGCTTGCTAAAAATTGTTATTTTTTTAAATAACAGCGGTTGTGAACTGTTATTGATAAATAACAGACTGTTAAATAGCAACCCGTCTCTAGACCGTTTAAACCGAAACATAATATGGCATCCACTTAATTTAATGCCTGTACCAAAATGTATTTTTTCTTCTTTCAGGGTATACCAACTCAGATTGAACTAAAAAATGTATCTGCCAAAATAGGAAAAGAAAAGATATTGAAAGATGTTACATTAAATATAACCGAACCTGGACTGTATATTGTAATAGGACCTCTTGGTTCGGGAAAATCTACGCTGTTAAAAGTTCTTTACAAGACATTACGGAAATATATGGTTCCATTGATGTAAAAGGAAGAATTCTTTCGCCTCGCAGGAACCATGGCTGTTTCCAGCTACGATAAAGAGGAACATTATTTTTGGAGGATTTTGACAGGACAAAGTACAACGAGGTTATTGAAGTATGTTGTTTGAAACATGATTTTCAAACTCTGGTTGATATGGACAACACAGTTGTAACTGGTATGAATCGATTTGATAAAGTTTAGTTTACATCAGTAATAGTTTCAAAATAATATTTCGGTCGGATTTCTTGGTATCTGTTTAGGTTTAAATATTTCAAATAACATAGGACACAGGGTGTCCCAGGCTGAGGCGATGCATTAGAAGTTTCTAAAGAGCTTAATATTCTAGATCGGAGATTTTTGCACGTCATTGTTTTATTAACGAGATCTATCGATTAAAAATATTTTCAATCTGGCACTTTCGGAAATACCGGAAGTCGACAGCAATTTTTTTATTTTAAATGGGTGTCCCCATTTTTTATTACAAACTTAAATTCTCTGTAAAATTTTATAAATTTTGATATTAAACACTCTATATCTAACATTAACCCTTTTTGAGAAAAAAAAGTAAAATTTTTGGACGAAAAAAACTGCCTGTCAAAAATATGTCAATCGCGTAATTTTTTTGTCAAAAACGGTTAATGTTAGATATAAGTGTTTATAGAGTGTTTAACATCAATATTCATAGTTTTTTACCGAGAATTTAAGCATGTAATAGAAAATGGGGGCACCCATTTAAAATAAGAAAGTTGCTGTCAACTTCCGGTTTGTTCCGGTATTGCCGGTAAGTGCCGCCATATTGAAAATATTTTCAATCGATAGATCTCGTTGTAAAACAATGATGTGCAAGAAATCTCCGATCTAGATATTGTGGTTCTCTAGAAACTTCTAATGCACGCTCAGCCTGGGACACCCTGTATATCAACAAAAATACTTAAAAATCGTACCAAAGTTACGCCATAATACGTAATAGCACACATATTGATTGTCATTGTAACAAAATATACACCTTGATTTATTACTAAATACAGGGTGGCGTCTCTCATACGCCGCGGACGCTCCAAGGAGAACGACAGTTTGTATTGAACTGAAATTTTGTGAGCATATGTAGGTTAATTCAAAAAATGTAGGTTAATTCTTTTAAAAAATATAGAGAGTTCTACAGGGTGTCCCCAAAAATAGTTACATATCAAAGTTGTGTTTTTTCTAATGGAACACCCTATATATTAATTGATTTTCGGATTCTGGGAGAAATATAAAGGTGAGTTTTATAAAAGAAGTATGTGACTAAAACGTAAGGTTTTTGACATATTTAACATTTTCTAGAAATAAAGAACAATTTTTTAAATTACAATAAAAGCTACTTAAATTGGAATTTACCCGGTATAGCCTAATATGTAGTTAAATTAACTGTTGTACTTTAAATCAAACTAAAACTTGATCCAAAAAGTTACACAGGGTGAGACAAAATTAATATTGAACCTTTAAAAGCATGTTCCTCTTTTATTTTAAATGGAACACCTAGTATATTATTCTGGGTAAAAAAAAAATAAATACTATTAAGGTTGCCTACCCCTCAAACAAAGATTTTCTTAGATATTTTCATTTACACGATTTGATTTGATCTGTGTAGATCTTTATTATTTAATAAAATCTAGGTGACTGTGGTATGTCTGACGTTACTTCAACATAGCTGTCTAATTAGTCCAACTTTAATAACTAGTTATCATTTTGTGTTAGTTAAAACAAAAAAATTCCTCAGAAATTTGCCGAAAATGCAAACTTATCCTACATCAGAGAGAATTGATATGATTCCATTAGTTGGTTAATGCAGTGTGCTTCTTCTTCTTCTTCTTCCTTCTTCATACTAGGCGAATCGCCTGTTTGGTTTCGTCGTCTCTACCGGTCAGACTGACAAGTTGTCGCTCCATCGTTTTCGTGGACGTCCTAAGCTTCTGCGACCTAGCGAATTTTGTCGCGTGCAACTCTCACTATCCTTCTGTTGTCCATTCTGCTGATATGCTCGTTCCATTCTTCCTTTCTGCTAAGTACCCACTCATTTACATTTTCCACCTTGCACGCTCTTCTTATGCTTTCATTTCTCTCCCTGTCCAGAAGCGTCTTTCCAGCTATTCTGCGTAGTACTCTCATTTAGGTTGTTTCTAGTAGTTGTTTAGTTTTCGCTGTATCAGGTCGAGTTTCTGCAGTGTATGTCATTATTGGTCGTACCGTTGCCTTGTAATTTCTCGCTTTAGTCTCCACCTCAATGTTTTTATTTCGCCATATTGTATCATTCAGGCATCCTGCTATTATGGTTGCCTTCGTTGTCCGTTCTCGCACCTCCGCTTCTACATCACCATATCCTGAGATTTCTATGCCTAGATACTTAAACTTCATCTCTTGCTGAATAACATTGCCCTCGACTTCCAGTTTGCAGTGTGCATTCACCAATAAATAGAATACCAAAATGCTCCTGATTCTATCAAGTCTGTTTTTATGGGGATATGTTAAAGACAGTGTTTACAAAATTCGACCAACTATTGCCGACAACATGAGAGCTCTTTTTATTACCGTTTAGTATTTTACTCTACAATCTTTAATTTTTGTTAAATTAACAAAAGGTATATCACACAGCCACCTAGATTTTTTCAAATAATAAAGATCTACTGACGCAAAATCATAAAAATTAAAATATCTAGAAAATTTTTTGTCTGAGGGGTAGGCAACCTTAAAAATATTTTGAAGATATATCCCCATTGAACACCGGAAAAATATACTGGGTGTTCCATTTAAAATAAAGAAGTAACTTACTTTTAAATGTGACTAATGTTCCATATTAATTTTGTCTCACCCTTTTCTGGTCAAATTTCAATTTGGTTTAACATACAATGGTTACTGTAATTAAATATCAGGCTATACAAGGTCAACTAAAATTTAGGTAGCTGTTATCGAAATTTAAAATTTACTCTTCATTTTCACAAAATGTGAAATATGTCAAAATCCTTAGATTTTAGCTATCTGCTTCTTTAATAAAACTCACCTTTATTTTTTTTCTAGAATCCGAAAATAGTTCCATTGGAAAAAACATAACTTTGATGTGTAACTTTTTTTGGGGACACCCTGTATAATTCTATATATTTTGTAAAATGCTTTCAGTCAACTTACATGTGCTGCCAAAATTTCATTTCGATATAAACTACAGTTCTCCTTGGAGCTTCCGCGGCGTATGAGAGGCGCCACCTTGTATTATTAAAAAGAAAAAATATATTTCTTATTCCATAGATGGTGGTTTGAACCTCAGTAGAGGCCAGCAAGCAAGAATAAATTTAGCAAGAGCAATTTACAGAGAAAGCGACATCTACCTGCTGGACGACCCTTTAGCGGGCCTAGACGTTCGAGTACAGGAAGCCATTATCAGCAATTGTCTGAAAAACTTTCTTAAGAACAAGATCGTTATCTTCGTGACCAACAACCTCGATCACTTAAAATACGCAAAGGAAATAATTATCATTGATAGGGGTGAAGTTAAAATCAAATCAGCGACTGATGAAGTACCGGTGGGGATTATTACTAAAACTAACTGTTTGGAAGAAAACCACGTTCACAATAACGATGTGTCTCTTCATGAAATTTCTAGAAATATCTATCACGAGGAGAAACAGATGGGGCACGTAGATTTTACGCATTATGTGAAGTATATCAAGTTTGGTGGTGGAGTGGTAATGTTTACTTTTATTTTTGGAATTTTTGTGAGCGCCCAGTTCACAGAGAGCTACTCCGAGAAACTTCTTTCTAAATGGTAAATATTTTATTGACAAATTTTTTAAACAAAGTGTTTTCTAAGTAAGTTAAAATCTTTGAATAAAAAGATTAAGAGTCCATTTCACTAGTACGAAAAAGTAGCAAAATAAGCGTTCGGCATTTAACGTTTTATGTAAAACTGGCTAGGTATTTTTACGCAAATGAAGAAGGAAATTAAAAATAAAGGATTATACTATATCCGTATTGTAGTACATGTTTAGACAACTTCTTTATTTTTAAGATTTTGATGATCAAACATCAACAAAATATTCTTTACGTTTGGACTAAATTTTCTCGAAAATAAAGACATAATTTAAAATTCCGTTACAATACGTAAATAGATTGAAGTTTTGTGATTACAGTGATATATAATTTATATGGTTTTGTAACAAATAGCTCGCTATTTTAGGCCAAATGATGAAGCTCTGCAAACCTTAATCAAGCCGTAATCCAAGCACGTGTGTTTGGAATTTTGGGTGTGGCTTAATATAAGGCTTGTTTCTCTCTACAATTTCCTGTTTCACAATGTACCGTTTATGTCCGGGAAAGGTTTCATAGTTGTCGATTTTCGAAAGAAATCAGTACATGTATATTATTTCGTATATTTTTCATTTTATTGATTTTATGGAAAGCACTGTTCATTAGAATGTTGTATCCTATGTTATAGGGCTTGTTTCTCTCTACAATTTCCTGTCTCACAATGTACCGTTTGTGTTCGGGAAGGGTTCATAGTTTCATAGTTGTCGATTTTCGAAAGAAATCAGTACATGTATATTATTTCGTATATTTTTCATTTTATTGGTTTTATGGAAAGCACTGTTCATTAAAATGCTGTATCCTATATTATAGGACTTGTTTCTCTCTACAATTTCCTGTCTCACAACGTACCGTTTGTGTCGGGGAAGGGATCATAGTTTCATAGTTGTCGATTTTCGAAAGAAATAAGTACATTTATATTATTTCGTATATTTTTCATTTTATTGGTTTGATGGAAAGCACTGTTCTTTAAAATGTTGTATTCTATGTTATAGGGCTGGTTTCTCTCTACAATTTCCTGTCTCATAAGGTACCGTTTGTGTCCGGGAAGGGTTCATAGTTTCATAGTTGTCGATTTTCGAAAGAAATCAGTACATGTATATTATTACGTATATTTTTCCTTTTATTGATTTTATGGAAAGCACTGTTCATTAAAATGTTGTATTCTATGTTATAGAGCTTGTATTCTACAATTTCCTGTTTCACAATGTATCGTTTGTGTCCGGGAAGAGTTCATAGTTTCATAGTTGACGATTTTCGAAAGAAATCAGTACATTTATATTATTTCGTATATTTTTCATTTTATTGATTTTATGGAAAGCACTGTTCATTAAAATGTTGTATCCTATGTTATAGGGCTCATTTCTCTCTACAATTTCCTGTCTCACAACGTATCGTTTGTGTCCGGGAAGGGATCATAATTACATCGTTGTCGATTTTCGAAAGAAATCGGAACATGTATATTATTTCGTATATTTTTGATTTTATTGATTTTATGGATCTGTTCATTAAAATGTCGTATCCTATGTTATAGGGCTTGTTTCTCTCTACAATTTCCTGTTTCACAATGTACCGTTTGTGTCGGGGAAGGGATCATAATTACATCGTTGTCGATTTTCGAAAGAAATCAGTACATGTATATTATTTCGTATATTTTTCATTTTATTGATTTTATGGAAAGCACTGTTCATTAAAACGTTTTATCCTATGTTATAGGGGTTGTTTCTCTCTACAATTTTCTGTCTCACAATGTACCGTTTGTGTCCGGGAAGGGTTCATAGTTTCATAGTTGTCGATTTCCGAAAGAAATCAGTACATGTATATTATTTCGTATATTTTTCATTTTATTGATTTTATGGAAAGAACTGTTCATTAAAATGTTGTATCCTATGTTACGGGGCCAGTGGCGCATCTAGAGATTGAGTCTGGGAGGGGTAGTGGGAATATTCAAAAAAGTACTAAATTTGAATTAAATTTTTGCTGGAAGGTATTGTAACTGTGGAAAAAAATCTACTTGGTTTGTTCTGGATATTCTGTTTTAATTTATATTATTAATTTTTTTGTAACAATTTTATAAAAAATGTATATACCTATGTGGCGGCTTCATCTATCCAAAAAAATCCTAATAAAAAAAAATAAAAAATCCTAATTTTTTACTAGATTTTACAACTTCTGACAAGCAGCGTCCGTTTAGGTTTAACGCCAGAAGTGTTTACAAAAAATAACTATTTTATTTTGTAGATTTTTCTTGCAGTGCAGTGGCGAAAAACCCATAAGGATTTTTTTGAACAATTTTATTTTATACCAAGTTTTATCATATTAATTAATTTCTTTCTGGGAGGGGAAATTACCCCCATTACCCCTCCCGTATATGCGCCCCTGGTTTAACACGACAGGATCGGGATAAGCCTTAGGCAGATATCTGAAATATAATATATATTCCTTCAGCCACACACCCCCTTTACCCGACCCCTGAGAGCAAAAAAAAACGCAAAAAAAATATTTTTTACGCGTAAAAAGCAACTTCTTACCCGTAAAAAACTACTTTTTTATGCGTAAGTATATGCGTAATTTTTTTAATTTATTATTTTCTCAACATTTCAAACTACACTTTTTCAAACATGTCTTTCAAATCCTTCAATCCTTCAAGTGTCATATCATGGATCACTGAGCGATCCCTTCTGTTCAACAGCTGTTCAACAGCTGTTTCAGTTTCACTTTAAATATGCGCACATAGTGCACACACAATTTTTTTATACATATTGATTTTAGGGTAGATCATCAACATGATTCATTAAATAATTCTTCAACAAATACCACAGTACTTATTGATGAAGAGAAGAAGACAGCACAATCTGTCTTTAATCTTTATATGATCATGATAGGACTATCAACTGGTCTAGATTTGATTAAAGCTTGTGCCTTCCTGACATACTGTAGGAATGCTTCTATAAAGTTTCATAAAACGCTGTGTCGCAGTATTATAAATTGTGTCATAACATTTCTGGACAATCATTTTATAGGAAATATACTAAACAGGTAAAAATTAAACAAATTTATAGATAAATATCTAAACATAGATATGCAGGGTCAGTCTTAAAAAGTGCAAATATTTTAGGGGTAGTATATTTCGACTCCAGAAACACGTCTATGAGGTTTTTTCGCGAAAAAAAAAATTGAAAATATGAAATTTTTTGAAAAAAAGTTTGGAATTTTCAAATTTTTATTTAAAAAACATAATATTTTCATAATATGGTAACATATGTAGTACGAAAAGTCAATTTAAACCAAATAATAAGTAAAATATCTGGGTTATTTTGGAGTTATTTAAAAAATGGCAAAGAAAAAATATATGTTTCCTTTGTCGAGATCTACCAGGTCTGAAAATATTTGCACTTATTTAAGATTCACCCTGTATAACCTAGTTCAAAATTCTTTATTAAAATTATTTAAAAGTAGCTACATATTTTAATTTTTTTTATATTTTCCTGCCATCTTCAAGTCATTTAGATACTGGCAAAAAATAACACTTTGATGGTAAATTTGTTAAAGATGGGCAGATTTTAATTTGAAGAATATTTTCTCTTTTTTTATTTTTAAAACTGCTGCTCTTTGTTTTCAGATATATTAGGTCTTTTGTATTCAAATAATGTTTTTAAAAATATGCAAATGAATAAGTCTATAGTACCCATTCTATGAAATAAATATTTCTGTTGCTTTAGATTTTCCTATGACTTGGATTTGATTGACGAACTATTTCCATTTTTGTTTATGGAAATAATCAAGGTAAGTTTACAATAATATCTTGGACATAGAAGTACTCCACACCTAATAACTTATTTTGAATCAAATTAAGTTAATTGAACACAATTTACCTCTATACAAAAGTGCTTTGTTTGTCCGTCAGAGGGCATTAATCAAAAATAAACCCAAACGTGAATTAAAGTAAAAGTTATGAAGCCGATTGTCTAAAATTATTTTCTATTCTAGATTTTAATAAAGTTCAGAGTGCCCAATAAATTTCTTACAATGTGTAACAGCCTCCATTACAACAAGTCTACAGTGTCACATCATGGATCACTGAGCTATCCCTTCCTCTGTCCTATTCAACATTTTCATGGCAGCGCTCTCTGCAAGAAAGAGGAATGGGCATTAGATATAGATACGACGGCGCCGGCGGTCTGTCCAATTCCAACATAAAAAGACTCAGGGCAAAAACACGTATAACATTTATCACAGAACTTTTTTATATCACATTACTTAGTACGCTGATGACTGCGCTTTAGTTGCAAAAACGTTACAGCAATTACAAGAAATGCTGAACACATATACCTTGGCATAGGAGGCCTTGGGACTTGAGCTGAACATCGATAAAACTAAAATCATGTGCACTCCCCCGGAAGATCACAATAATATGCTATAAAAATCGGAAAAGAACTATTTGAATATGTAGCGGAATTCAATTACCTCGGCAGTTTGATGTCGGAAAAGGCCAATATCCAATATCGACTCTGAAATTCAGCAGAGGATTAGCAGCGCTTCAAGATCATTCTGGAAATTAAAAGACAAGGTTTTCTACAATCATAACTTGAGCACAAAAACAAAACTTGCAGTGTATCGAGCAAGAATAATCCCCACCATGTTATATGGAAGCGAAATCTGGGTGTCGTACCGCCGGCACATAAACGCATTAAACAAGTTGCAACAGAGGCATCTTAGAAAACTGTTAAGAATCAAATAGTACCCCCATTTCTCAAACGTACCGGTTCTTAAAAAGACTAGCTGCTAGAGCGCTGAAATTTTGATTATTAAATCCCGCTTAAGATGGGCTGATCATGTATGCAGGATGCAAGAAAACCGTCTACCGAAATATCTGCTTTACGGTGCCAGGTTGACAACTCAGGTTATCTGCCAGGTGGACAACTCAAAAGGTACAAGGATATTTTCCATGAAAACTTAAAACGGATAATCATGCAGAATCAGTGGGAGGAATCAGCACACAATAGAACGCAATGGAGAAGAATTGTAAACTCAGTTAACAGCGGCAACCAAAAAGTAAAGAGACAACATAGTAATGAGATTTTTTAATGTCCGGAGTGAGGACATTAAAACGCCTTGCGCAACCATCTTCTGATGCGTGTCAAATACTCGTCAGCGATTAATGGCAGTAGTAATAGTAGTAGATTTTAACGCTGGATGCGACAAAAAACATTTTTTGTAAGTCAGTTTTGGAAAAACATTATTTTTCCAAAGGTAGCGTATTTTACAAGAGACAAAAAGTGGTAGTAGTAGTAGTCGTCGTTGTAGTTTTTACTTTTTAATTTATGTAGGGGCGAAGGTATATATAGTTTTCACACCGTACCCCTTTCTGTTTTTTTTTGTGAAATCAGAATCACTGGTACGGAATGTTGGTTCATAAAATGTCACTTTTTTTAAGTTTGATACCCTCAACGGACAAACAAATCACTTTTGTAAAAGGTAAATTGTGTATGAACAACTTATTTTGTTTCACTGAATACTGGGACACTCTGTATAGTTCTTTTTAGCAATCAAATTAATTAATTGTGAACAGTTTTAATAAATGTTAATGATAGGAATATAACATTTCTTTATTTTTTTCAGAACAGTCTTGCTGTAGCTGGAGTACTCGTGTTGGTTATTAGTGTAAACAAGATCTTTTTATTCATATCTATTTTTATGATTGTACTCTTGGTATTATTGAGGACTTTCTACATCCCTGCAGCCAGAGCATTGACAAGATTATCTGCTTTAAGTGAGTAATAAAACTGTCGAAAGAAAAATTCATTTTTCTTTTGAAACACACTGAACATTGAAAACGTAATTAAGTACTATGGGGTACCTTATTTCTACATGTGGGACTCAATAGAAGCAGACCGACTAACCCTTGCAGTAAAGCTGGAGGGAATCCCCTAACAACACTGAGAACATTAACAGTGCAAGATCCCAGGGGCCACCCCAAAGGGATCTTCCAAGGGAACCTCCTCTTGTAAGGGTCGGGAGCCTACCTCTAGACCCAACAGGCTACATAAGCTACCGTTTCCTCTACTTTCTTCAGGCGGGCTACACAACTCGCTGAGAGTAGATCTCAGCGAAGCAGGGTACGGAGATACTCCGACTGCTCGACGAAGGATTTGCTCCAGAAGAAAGGAAAAGCGAAAACACTTCTCGAAAAAGGGAGAGTAAAGGAACCACGAAACAGCGGTGCATCTCCACCAAAAT